TTGTATAATTTAAATAATATATAATTTGAATGAGTCATGACCTAGAGAAGATGTGCTCATGATCCAACTACCAAGAACCCAGACACACTACAGCAATAAAAAAGTCATTCAAGCAACAAGGATAGTCTGGGCTATTATTTTTCCCGTTTTGTTTTTGATTTCACATAGAAGCAAGTTCATTTGTTCCTGACAAATCAAGAGTTCTGCTGAGATTCCAGCTGCAGGAAATGATGAAAGATAACCAACTTAGATGTCACTAAGTAAACAGAAACAAGTAGCAAAAGATTCTTTAGCTATGTAAATAAAAATTCAGCAAGGAAAAAAAATGAAAACTAGGTACGTAGTAAGCTCAGGATTAATAAAGAAGTAATTAGAAGTAATAAAGGAACTGTTCCAATGATGAATAAACAGTATCATCTTCACTAAAACTCTGGAACTGGAGAAGACAGGACAATCTGATTTATGGAAACAAGTATAAAATGGAAATCATTACTACTGGAGGCATAAGTAAAATTACAAATCTAAATCACAAAATGGAAAAGAAGAGGGGCTTGATTTCCATGCCAGAAAATGGGCTTGCAACATTGCAGTCACAGCAACGAAATGCATCCACACTGCCAAAGGACATGAAAGCACAACTATATTTACCCTAATCTTGGCACACAGACCCCAAGCCAAGAACAGTTGTTTATTCAGGGGAAAAAAGATTGGAAGCTGTAACAATCTAATGTCTGATTAACAACTGTAGAAAGGTCCTTAATTAATTGGTAAACAAAGATGAAATTCACGTAGAGGAAGTTTCAACAATATAATAAATAATTTGAACTTCTTAGATTGTTCCACGAGTTTAACAGATTTGAGCATAGACAACAACAGCGCTTAAATTAAGGGAAAGGTAAAAACCTTAAAGACAGTATTTTACACTGTGTAGGATTCCTTTTATTTAAGGCCTATCAGAATACTTCAGTAACAGTCTTGCATAACAGAAACAAGGAATAAAATACACTGAACTGAAACAGACGTTTATTCCTGTCTATCATTCAAGGGGATGAAATAATACTTGCAGCTCAACTGCCCCTGCTGCTAGCAAAATCTATTTCTCTTACCTTGAGAAGAGCCATCATCCTCATCATCCAGTGTAAGGTCAATGACACCTCCTGAATTGCTTCCTGCGACCTTCCCGCTCTGAAAGACAAAACTCCTTCATTTTGCAAAAGCAAATCCAGGGAACACAGATTGAAAAAGGGATATGAATTGAACATTGTGTAAGAGAGAGAACTGAAGAGCTTATTAGAAAGGATGAGATGAGAAGGAGGAGGAGGAGATTTCAGACAAATTTCCTCAGACTTGGAAAAACAGGCAATGACGAAGTGACTAAACTGCAATATCAAATTTTGAAGCACCTTTTAACTTTCTAAGGAGTAGGAAAAAACCTTGATGACCAGTAGTCTGTTGTTATTTTACAGGTAAATAGATTAACAAAACTGTATTATAATCTTTGAATATATATATAAGTTAATTATGACCCTTTTAATATTTTAACCCAATTGTAACCTGTGCTTTCCAGCATAACCTTTTGACAAAATAGTCACCGGGACAACTCATGTTGAGATAGTCTGGGCCTACCTGCATATGGTGAAATTGACTTCACAGTAAGGAAACCTCTCACAAAACCTCTGTGCTGATAAAATACATCATCAAAAGCCATCAGAAAACTCCAATGGTTTCCAGCTTTGAAGAGTAACTTCATTATTGTATTTTATCCCGTATCACAAAACTCATCATTTGTTATCCTAGATATGAAACCATTTGTAACCATCTCTTTGGAGAGGATAAAGACATCTTTTATGTTATTGCGAAGGCTTAAAGTTATAAAAACCTAGAGGGCCATCAAACAAAATTTATCTTCTGGATCAATGACTTTCCCTTAGCTGTTCAGACTAGAGCTGGACCACCAGCTTCTTCTTTTAGCTGGTGAAGTGAACATTGGGGAAGGCCCTATATATTTCTGGGTTTTTAAATCTGCTTTCTAGAACAGATCTTGAATGAAGTCAATGTCGTCTTTCTTAAATTTGATGCAAAAATTTGTGTTTCTTTGGTTTTGCAGAAAAGATGATCATTTATTGTTGGGCTGAACTGCTACTGACTTGTGGATTACAGTAAGCCAGGTTCCTTGGGTCAGACAAGGGGTTAGGAAAGCAACATAATTACCAACATCACTGAATAATTAACATTAACATGTAAAAAAATCTTAAGAGTTATCAGCCGCATGTCGCCAGCATGATAAAAACTAGGAAGATTAGAGTTAGTGCTGTGTGGTCTGATGGGGACAGATGCAAAAAGTCCAAGCACTGAGATTATCTACTCTTTTAACTTTAAATAGGGTAAAGCAAAGCCTTTAAGAAGGTCTTAAAGACAGTTCTCACACAGACAAGACCTTGAGGAGAGAGAAAAAAAGCATCATAAAAAATACAAATGAAAGCTGTCTCTGAATTATTGGTCACTGGATTTAGACAGCCTGACATGAATGATCGCTTCATTACACAGTTAGATTATAAGGTGATTTCTGCTTAAGCTCTATTTCTGCCACTGATGAAATTCTGCTGATAACCTATATGATTAAAAAAAAAAAAGGAAAAAATAGCTAGGTACTTATGTTCCAAGGTGGCAGAAGAGACCTCTATATGGACTCTATCCTTGCTATTCATAAACATCTTTCAGATGTATTAATCATGGAATTCTTCTGTTGAGTGATTTCTATTTCAGAAACCTTCCAGCTTCAGTTTTCTTAGTATGATGAGCTGATTTAACCACTTGAAGCTTAAGATAAAAACCACATTCAAATAATCAATGAGTACATTCAAATAATCAATGAGTACTTGATTAACACAAAGTCAAGAGGAATTTCATTCCAACTTGATTATCTTCCCAGTCAGTGATGTATATTTTGAATTACGGCTCTCCTTGCCAGGAGAAAGCAGACTGAAAAATGGAGTAGGGAGATTTATGAAGAACTGGAGAAAGAAAAAACTAACACGAAGCTATTTATTTTTCCCCACTATAAAATCTGTTAGTCTGAAGTAATTTCCTTCAATTCTTCTTCTACAAGGAAATCTAAATCCCTAGAAACAAATACTCTTTATAAAACTGTTTGGAAGTCCTACTTAACCATGCCAGTTGAGAATTCTTTGAATTTCCAAGTCTGCATGTGTTACTGCATGCAGTTTTGATTTTGGTGTCTCCAGAAGGCCAGAATCTCTAGTTACCTAAACAGGCAATACTAAACAAATAATCCAATCAGCCAGTTATGTCTCAAGCATGCCCTTTTCAGAAGGAAAGATCTTCTTTGAGTTAGTCACTTCATTCAAGGTTTTGTACTGAACAACCCTGGCAGCAATCTCCTCACAGGAAATATCCAGAAGTGGTTTTGTTCTTTCCACAACCTGTACTAGACACTGTGGATCTGCAGGGCAGTTTCGAGTGGTGCTCTGTGGTACAACCCACAGTCCCGCTTCCACGGCACTGGAGTTCAGCTACTCCAAGAGGAAGCCGTACTCCACATACAGCACTCCCCAGCTAGTTTCTCCTAGTTCACCTGCAATACATCACCTTCGAATGAAATTTAGGGGTACAGGAAAACTTTAAGGAAACTTGAAACACTGAAAATGCTACATATTGCGTCTCTTACCAAAAGCATGTAGGGAAGTATGGTGCTGTCAGGGTATTCCCTCACAGAATAGACTGCTAATTATGCCTGCCACAAAGGTCAGAATTTTGACTGTTCAGAACATCAGTTAGCATTTACAAGGAGAAGCAGGGTCCCTTTCTATACTCTGTAGCGCTGGCAGGGTTTTCAAATTCTTGTAGATCTCTCAAGTCCAGAAAAGAGAAGAGATTGAGAAAGAAATAGGGAATCAGAGATTGGAAGACTGGTTTATACTACATTCCTACAGGAAAGTTAAGAATTTCCATGATCTGAGAGAGATGCTGTATCACCCAATACCAGGTGTTTCTGAAGTGTCATAGCTTACCACCTGAATGGTTAAGACCTACAAATGGAAGCATTTGGAACCATCCCTGCCAAAAGCAAGTAATAAATGCTTTTCCGAATGTTATGTGCCCAACCATTTAAGAAAATACAAACAGCCCTTTTGGGTATCACGATTATATTATGCATGAATTATCTCCAGGAAATTTTTGTTGCTACAAGGACTTGCCAAAAAATAGAACTGTTTGAGGAAAGGCTAGAGAGAAACAACTGCTATTGCTTCTGTAAAATGAAGAAGGGGATGGGATTCAGGGGAAGGGACTGCCCTGTTGCAGATCAGAAGAGGAGAGTCCAACATGCTGCTCAGAGCAAAACAAACCACCTTAAGAAGGCTTGAAGCTCCAGTGAAGGGAAAGAAAAGCATGACACTGGACTTCCAGACATGCATGAACAACCTTCACGTTTATGTCAAAAACTGAAATAAGAGAATACGTTTTTCAGCTCCTACTATTAGACTTCAGAAGGCTTTTTGGTAGAAAGTGGTAACACATAAATGTCTTGTCATTCTGGTCTACTGTGAGTTTTCAGCTTTCTCCAAACACAGGCAAGTCAGGAACACCCGAACCTGCTTCAGCTGATCTCAGCAGAAGAGCATGATGATGCAACCATGACACGTTTTCATCACACTAGTGAAACAGTAAAAAACATTTCATGAGAACCCAAAACATGTCTTATGCCTTATTTCACATGCCTAGCAAGTCTGAATAGCAAGTCAGTGGCCTAGAGTATCAAATAAACAGTAACTGGAACAAAACAACCAAAGTAATATTAAGTGATTTGTATTTATTTCAGGAACATATTTATAAAACAAACTAAATTTTTGTAACAAGCAAACAAAACCACAACCAACAAAACTGTAACCTCCAAAGCCCCCTTTTCTCATTTTTCAGAAATGAAGCAGTCTCCAAACTGACCAGAAGTGGCACAAGAAAACTATTTACAACAGCCACTGGGTAGTTTCTAATAATCAACAGAAAACTTGAAATTTTACATTGGGATTTAAAATAAATGTGAAGACTGCCTTCCATCCATTGTAACAGCTTACGTATGTTAATGTATATGCCCTCACATCCAAAATGCTGTCATGCACACTTACGTTTTGCACCAGTTTACCCAGAGCTGACATCATAACTTTGTGCAACCAGGGAGTAGCAATACAGGGACCTAAACCATCCAGTCAACCACAACTGTCCCTGACTACCTTGAATCTTTTTCTGCTTTCATGTGCCAGCCAGAAGTGCAACAATTTTACATAAAGCAACATGACAAATACAATCACATACACATCATGAAAATAAGAGTGCAAATTCTCTGTGCCTGCTGTCAGGATACCAAAGAGTGTGAGACCAATGCTGACCACATTCCCATCTGAGCTTCCAGTTATAAGGGAAGAACAAACATTTAACAAAGTGTAGAAGAGTTGTTGATACAAATAAGTGGGTATACATGTATGCAGGCATCACGTAAACAAAACAAAACAAAACACAAAACAAAACTGAAAAAGCAATTAATCACAGAGATGTCTTGGGCCCCATCTGTCCCAAAGGCACAAACATGGTTTTCATACTTTTAAAATGAAAATAGAAATTAACTATTACTAGCATTTATGTCTATTTAAGAGCTGATTTTGTATGATCTGCACAAATCTATTGCAGTTTCTTCTGCTTAGGTTTGAATTACTTCTTATATGTTTATTTCTGCAGTATTTATTTTTTTTTGCAGTGAGTAAAAGAAAGCACACATTATGAAAAACATTAACAAAAAATAAATATAATCTTTGTTTAAAACATATTCCTCTAACAGTTTCTAAATTATTATTTGGGGGGTGGGGGGGTTGATTGAGAAAATCATCTCCTTTGGGAAATGTCACATTTTAAAGATAAATGTGACAAAAATTTTAGAAGATAGCAAGAGAAATACAAGACTTCATCTCTTCCCAACTTCCTAATTCTAATATAGTCACATCTTTATTCTTCACCTGGTCAGTGAACTTCCATTTTGCAATAAGATACTTTGCATAAAAACAACGTGTCCTGTAACTGAATGTTTCATGCTTCAGTCTAATGTATACAAGCCCAAGCAGATTCATGCAAATTGGAGCTGAAAAGCAAAACACACAGAAACATAGCATGTCCTGAGTTGAAAGGGACCCATGAGGATTGAATCCAACTCCTGGTTCTGCACAGGACCACCCAAAAATCAGACCACATGTCCAAGAGCATTGTACAAACACTTCTTGAACTCTATCAGGCTTGGTGCCATGACTGGACAGCCTGTCCCAGTGCCTAATCACCTTCTCAGTGAATAACTTTTCTCTAACCCCTCACCTGACCCTCCCCTGTCCCAGCTCCATGCCGTTCCCTCAGGTCCTGTCTCTATCCCCAGAGAGCAGAGCTCAGCGCCTGCCCCTCCGCTCCCCTCGTGAGGGAGCTGCAGGCCGCCATGAGGCCTCCCCTCAGCCTGCTCTGCTCGGGGCTGAACAAACCAAGGGGCCTCAGCCATTCCTCACACATCTTGCCCTCTACACCCTTCACCATCTTTGCTGCTCTATCCTTTAGACACATTCTAATGCTTTTATATCCTTATATTGTGGCACCCCAAACTACACACGGTACTCAAGGTGAGGCCGCACCAGCACAGAGCAGGACAATCCCTTCCCTTGACCAGATCGGCAGTGCTGTGCCTGATGCACCCCAGGATACAACTGGCCCTGTTGGCTGCCAAAGGACACTGCTGACTTGTATCCAACTTGTTATCCACTAGAACACCCCGATCTCTTTCTGTGGGACCACTCCTCAGCCTCTCCTGCCCCAGCAGTCTGTGCATACAGCCACAGTTGCCCCACTCCAAGGGCAGCATCTAGCACTTGCTCTAGTTAAAATTCAAGTGGTTGGTGATTGTCCAGCTCTCTCATTTGTCAAGATCTCTCTGCAAGTCCTCTCTACCCTCAATGGAGTCAACAGCTCCTCCTGATTTAGCAATACGCAAACTTACTTAGTATACCTTCAAGTCCTGCATACAAGTCATTTATAAGAACATCAAAGTGAACCAGCCCTAAAATGGAGCCCTTGGGCCAACCTGATGCAACCCCATCTGCTATAACCCTTTGAGCCCAACCATTCACCCGCTGCATTATGCATCATTTATCTAACTGTATGCTGGACATTTCATCCAGAAGGATACTGTGAGAAACTGTTTAAAATGCTTTGCTGAAATCCAAAGAGATTACATCAACTGGCTTCCCTTGGTCAACTAGATGAGTAACCTTGTCATAAAAGGAAATTAAGCTCACGTAAGGTGAAATGTGTGAAGAAGACTGCAAGGTATGATGAAAAGCAGAAACAAAGGTGAAAAAAAGAAGCAAAAGGAAGAAAAAATACAGGAAAAGATAATTACAAGCCAAAGAGCAGCTGAGCATGCACTAGTCCAAGTCAGAAGGACTATGCGACTGTTCTGTACTGTGACTTCACTCATTCAGTGTTGTGCACTTTTCCCTCAAAAAGCCAGCCAAGAAGAAGGAATCATACATTTACAATCTCAAGGTCTTTTGAAGTATATTATTTAAAGAAAATCTTGTCAAATTCAACATCCCTGCCCTAGCTTCTTTAGTTCACAAGGTTGTTACCTCTAACACCTGCAGCATTTAACAATACATATAACTACCTTGGGCTTTGATTGCATGGCAAATGCCCCAGGCAAGCATCTAATTTGGGAGGTGTGGAGGAAAAGTATTTTAGTACCAAGCCGCTCTTCCACATAACTTGTGAAAAGAGCAACTTAAAGACTTTTGGTTTTGCCCCTCTTCTCAAGAGTAAATTTTCATCCCTTTCAAATATGTGAGTGAAACCTCCTAAGTCCTGAACCAGAGGCTAAGTTGTAGGCTTCTCTCAATATTACTTAATCAGTTAGGCTTAAAACTGCTTTATGGTGCCTATGGAAGATAAGATAATGAAAAGCATGTATCAAATGAATACAATTTTCAGATTTGTACATTTTTCTTTCTTACGTTTACAATAGAAATAGGCACTTCTAAATGTTCTAGTAGCTACAAAACTTATGATGAAAAGTGATCTATTGCACTAATTTTTCAGAGCAAGACTTTGTCTTTTTAATATGAAAATAAACAGGAGACATTTAAATTTTTGCATAAAAATTACATACAGTACTTAAACTACAATTTATGGTTATCTACAAAAAATTGGTAAAAGTGACTTATACTCAGAATTTCATGCATTTTCCACTGCATATACTATTGCAACAAATCATCTCGCTCCTTCCAAATTCCAACTACAAAAATCTTTTTAACAATTAAAGAAAGTACTGAGAAATAGATGTACTGACAAATAACACACAATTATGGGAAGAAGTGCTAGAGAAAAAATATAATACAACTTTCCTTGAGAAAGAAAAGAACTATACATTCTAGACAGTGGCTTTCAAGAATCAATGCTGTGTGAATACTACACAAATTTAAACAGAGGTATACAAGAAAAGAGGTCTTAGAGGAAATCAAAACCATGGAACTTTCTGAAGACACAAAAAGAGAACAGGGTCACCTGAATTTGAAACTTTCACAAATTTGCCAATTTGTGAGTGGCTATGAAGTCACCATTTTTACTGTAAAACCAATGTAAATTCTATATAATCAAAAACTTTTTCTGTTTGTCTTGAAGACTTTCATTACACCCCGTATATCATTGACAGTAATATCAGGAAATACTTGAGTTTATAGAAAACAAATAAATGAAAATCAGAAAGGAATCAGTCTCGCAATTAAATGATGGTCTGTCTCTGGTGTTTAAGGGATTCTGAAGCATCTGCCTCTGGAAAACTAGGGACATTGACTCAGGCATCTTATGTACTCTAAGGGACATAACTAATGACATTGACTTGGTACGCCTTATGTACCATGCTCAGTTTTTCCACGTGCTGAGACCAATTTCTACTGTCGTAAAATATGTTATAGTGGGAGAAAGAATATCAACTTTTTCAGACTGCACTGCTGCAAATTAGGTTGATTAATTTGCAATTTTGAAAGGAAAAAAAAGAGGAAAAAAAAAGTTACTCCAATTCCATGAAGAAAACAAATACAAAGAAGGAGACTGAATTTAAAGACCAAAGAACATATGGTAGATGATGTTGAGAAAAGAACAGAGTATTTTTTCATCATAACTACAATTGTGAAATTTGACCCCCCCCCAAAAAAAGTGGTTAGAACATTATAGCATATATGTCAATGACAAACTACTGAAGAAAACTGTGAAAGAAATCTCTAGAATATAAAGCAAACAGAAAATGTTATCTGTTACATCATTTTATATAACGACACTCATACACACACAAGCATGCACATATATTTTACCACATGAAATACCAAAAGGTAACCGTTAGCATTTTGAAGAAAGTTTTGAATACACTCTTCTCTATTCAAGTATGATATTTGTGATTCAAAAAAACTAAATTTTGGTATTATATAACGCCACGGTTCAGTTCATCACATTGAAGTAACCACACTATTAATTGTAATGCCACCTGCTTTTCATAACAGAACAATTAAGTAAGTAAAAGTGGAAAAAATGGAGAAAAAATATCAAACCAAACCAACAACAACAACAACAAAAAACCACACCAAAAACCAGTGAAAAATCAAAATTAATTCCAGGGTAGTAATGATCAAAACTCTGAAGATTATTTGTGGCACACTGACACAGTGCAGACAATTTTATTATTAATAGCTTCTACATTATCAAAACAGAAAAAAAAAAAGAAAGGGTTTGTAAAGAGACATTCCATGAAGCATCACACCACCAGTCATACATGACGCACCAAGGCGTTATATAATAGCAAAATCAATCTGAAATTATGGGGAATGATGTTAAAAGTATGTTCTGGGATTGGCATGTGCGTGGGGGTGATCCTGTGTCCGCATGGGAAAGTACAAAGCCTGTATTTTGTTTTTTGTCATCCATATACAAAACTACAGATTTCAAGCACAAGCAAGAATATGCGAAAATCATTTTTTTAGTACATATTTAAGTATACTTCCATCACAGACTGCTTCAAACTTATCACTCCGTAACAGTTATCAATTCCATTGCAGTTAACTCCCACACAATTGAAATAATTATTCCAGCCTTGCAAAGCTGTCATGAAAATTTATTTGATCGGGCACCAAATGCATTCATCATCTCTTACCACAATTAAAACATAAATTATAATGCAATAAAGCTAGTAGTTTACCTAGTTTGCATTTTGCACAAACAAAATTTCACAGGGCTGCAATATTGTTTTGATAGTGTGTAATACCTATCTCAGCATTTTATGTATTCCATTTACCAGACCATTCCCCCTTACCCTTATTCAGTATTGTGCAACACTTTCTACAGAACAATGCAAGCATTCAAAAAATGAGTAGCCAGTCTTAGTAACCCTTATGTATTATATACCCTCTCACTTATTTGTTGCAAAGAATAGACATTAGCTCTGCTACTCACATCAGTAAGAAACATAAATCAAGAAACATATATGAAAAGTTGATTGCTAGAAAGGCTGTTTTTAGGCACTAGCAAATGTAATTCCAACTAAATCTATGAAGGAACACTTGACACAATGCTTAGAAGGATTTCTGTACTGCTATGATTTTGTTTTTCTTTAATCAAACAGTTAAAAGGGTATATAAACACATACATGCATACATGCACACACACACACACACAGCCCTCTTTACTGGCTCTTACTCTAGTAAGGTGAAACATCTACCTTCTTTCTCCAAATCCCACTGAAATATACTACTAATCAGTAAAAGGATTAATGAAGCCATTAATTAAGCCATTATATAATAATAAAGCCATTAATTCAGATTAATGAAGCCTATTACTTGTGTCTGTTGTAATGAGTATTTATTAAAAAACCTCTAGATTTTTTTGGTCCAAACTGACAAATTGAAGCCTATAAAACACAAGCACATGTACTTAAAGCTGTTCTTAGTAGCTGGGGGCTGGTTTAAGTAACAGAGATAGTCTCAGGGAAAGACAACCCACTGTAAAAAAATGAGTTTAAAAATCATCCAAAGAATTCTCAACAGGACATCACATAGCTGAAATTGGGTAGCTGTTGTAAGGAAAAAAAATCAAGTGAACCCATTCTTGAATGACCTTTGCTAACACCTTTACAATGTAGAATTCAAATTAGTTTCAGGTAAAGGTTTCACCTTACAGATGAGAGCTAGGTGCATTTTTTAAACAGCACAAACATAACCTCGGGGTCAGAGACAAAAATCAAGTATCCCATTTTACATATATAATTATGCACATTTATTTTCAGTGACAAAGCCATGAAATGCCAGGAAACATTTTCATCAATAACGCTTCAACAATATAGAATTAATAGCTGCATATACGTTTTAAGGTGATATGTCCACTTTGTTCACATTGTTTCCCCAACAGACACTCACAAAGTTCGTTACACATTGCAAATGAAAGGAAAAAAGTTATAAATGTACTTTATTAACATTGTATCAGGTAAACTTCCAATAGTCAGCAAAATGGCTTAAATTAAACGGTAGACAACCAAACAAATCAAGGCATGTCAGAAACAATGGGAAATGGATTGGACACTGGTGTTTTTTTTTTTAAACCTAACATTAGCTGAAAAGGTGAAATGCACAGATGAAATTTAGACCGTTTTGCTCCATGAGAGGATAAGGTGCACCCAGAGTGAGGAACAAGGAAGAAAAGACTATTTGCCTGACTTAGTGGTACAGCAAATATAACATACTCATTCTTGAATAGGCTGATTTTATGTCAGCCAGTTTTAACATATCCAACCCCATTCAAGTTTGCTCACTGTTATTTTACGCCACAATGTAATAAATCACTTTCATAGATTCCCTCAGTATGCCATGTATATATTTATATATTATATTATATATATATATATATATAATTCCTGTATCTGTAACTGGGATTCATAATAAAATACTTTAAAACCATTATAAAGACTTGTTATATAACTAAATTTCTGTAACAATAGTGTGTACTGTAATACATTAAAAGTGCTCATCATGTGTTTAGAAATGCAGTTCTGGGACCTGAGGCATTGGAATGGCCATCAGCAAAATGACTGTGACTGAATAGCATGCTTTAAATTTCTGTGCAAACAGGAAAAAATTGAAGTTCAGAGACTATGACAAACACAGCAGACGCCCCCTCCTACATCCCTGGGACCATCCCTTTTGGAGCAAGTAGCAGTGGAGGGCTGAAGAAGGAGAAGTAGAAGTAGAGCAAAACCTTACATCCAAGCTGCTTACTGATAACTTTGACTATACCAACCCAGACAGTGTTCAACTACTGAAAAGTTGCATGGTTCTGGAGGATAACCAGAGATGTACCAGACTAAAACCACAAAGCTAAGAAAGCTTTCTGCTTCAAAACCTTGTTCCAATGCCTTCAGATATTTGACATTCTGCACAACTGAGCTCTTCCATGGGCACAGGAAAAGTGCGTACAGTGAAGAACATTTACCTTTTTCATCTCCCACACTGTAGATCACAGTATCTTACAGTGGGGATGAATTACTTACATAGCAATAAGAAAAAAAACTTATACTGTCAGATACTACACTAACTTCATAAAAATAAAAATTAGGGTACTCCTTGAAGCAACCAACAGCAGAGATTTCCAAATTTACAACAAAAACAACACAGAAAACACAAGTTCACACACACACACTGAAGCTTCATTATGAAAATGAGATGATCAACTAATAACATTTATTATTAAAGGTCACTGTCATTTCCCTGTTTTCAGAATCAGCTCCAACATAGAAAATGGAATTTAATCACTGACATGGCAGGAAAACAAAACAAAACAAATTCAGTTGACTTGGTAAAGGCTAAATGCTTTTTTTTTTTTTGCAACTGAAATGGAAAATGAATTTTACAAGACAATCTAATTAGAAAAATTCAAGAGTGACACATGATAAATTTATTTCAATGTGTTATTTGCTATATTAATTTTTTAAAGGGAATTTAAAATTATGACTAACAATTCTATGCTAAGATTTGAACCAATGGTGCCTTAAAAATCACAACAAACTGTACTTAACCTGTTGGTTCACTAACATGCTCTACCATGTAATGGAAATATAATGGAAAGGGAAACAAAAAATAATGAAATTAGTTATCGTGCTGTTTGAGAGTCTCTGCTGAGACTGCCACTGAGGAGTCCAGTTCATGGCAATTGTGACAGATTTCATGAACACAGCATGTAACCTGTACTGTAATAAATGGGACTGACTTAAAATTTTCTCAGAAAAGAATAAGAGTGCAAAAGGAGAGGGGTGATGTGGGGGGAGACCACTTCCCCCATATTACTGCACACGTGGGCAAAGCTGACTTTACAGAAGCAGCCAAACACCTGCTCTGTTTGCCTACTTCAGCTTTTCTAGAGAGGAAATACATGTAGGGAAGATCCATTTAATACCTGAAGTGGGAGGAGGTGTAGGGAAGATTTTTCACTTGCAGAAGGCTAGAAATATATTCTACTAATTAAAATTCATTCTACTAAGCTTTCCACCAATATTTAACGACTCCAGCCCTTTCAAAGCAATCCTATTTCCAGCCCAAACCAGGAATGCTTTTTCTCAGTTTGAAAAATTTTACTCTCATATGAAAATAAAAACATAGTAGTACTGCAGTCAGTAGCTTTGAAGTATCAGGTTCAAGCTGAAGGTAGTAAGAAGACTCTGTATACAGTTGGTGTCAGTAAAATTACAATTTAACAAATGAGAAGCTAAAAATTCTTAATTATCATCCAATAGAATGGAAGTCAAATTAGAAGCCAAATGGTATTTTAGAAGAATCAGAGACATGCCCAGATTTGCCACAATAGTCCTTTTTTTCTTCTTTTTTTTTTTTTTCCTCCAGTTTGAATTACCCACTAGATTTGTGTTAAGGAATTAAACTATTAGCAATATGCTGTTACAGTTAATTACACAGATGCAATTAGGACCAGAGCAGGGCATGTGGTCAGTATGACCATAATAGTATGCAGCAAAAGGGAACAAAAACTAAATGATCTCCTGGCAACATACTTTTCTTGATTCTGCAGGATAAATGTTCAACTCTGTTATGCCAGAACAGGGAACTATCTCTAGACAACAGGAAATTTCTATGCCAGAGAAAATAATACGTTTCCATCTCGGTGAAAGTTTGGAGCAAATCTTTTCAAACAAAAAATGAAATTTTCCAGTCAAGTTGAATTATGAATTCTACGAAGCCCTAGAATTTGGAAACCTACGTTATGCTAGAAAATCTTAGAATAAGGTACTGCACAGTTCTCCTGTACTGTGAGCACAGTTTGCCCTTTGTTTTTGTCAATTTTTATTTCTAGTCACTAGAAAAGGATTGCTTTGCCATTTCTGTTTGATTTATTATATGCTTGATAAAATAATTCTGGATGTGTGATTACCTTCCTATAGACAATGATGTCACAAACTGATGCTGCAACTAAGCAAGCGTAGGACTGTGTGGCAGAAGTAATTTTTGTATTAGAATTATACCTAATCAACTTGCTTGTTCATTTATAACAGCAGCAAATAAAACTGACTGTAAACATAAAATAAATACATAAGATGTATATAGAAATCTCAAAACCTCTTAATCTTTAATGAGATCACGCAGAAAGTTGAACACTCCACACTGCTCTTATGCTGCAGAAAACTGATCAACTAACTATAACTGATCTACCCGAGGCCACAAAGATAATCACCATCAGCCAAGATTAAGATTGCTAAGGCCAGGCATCGGCTTGATGTTTGTTCAGATTATGACAAAATGCTAAATCACATTCTGTATTTGAAAGTCTTTTTCAGCAAGGAAATTCTGCAAAGAATTAAGAATTTTTCATGGCAAATTTATGATTTCAGCTGGAATATTTCTCTAGTTTGTTCTACTACTGAGCAACATAAACACTTCCAGTTGAGTCCTTAATGTGATAAACTATGTTCGCACACATACACAAAAGTATGTATGCATGCATTTCAAAAGGATGAAGCCATTCTTATTTTATTCAGCTAATATACTGGAAAGCAGTTTTAAATGCTATGCTGTTTCTTCTTCCAACCTAGACCATGATTTGATGGCCAAATTTTCATTTTTATAGTAATATTTCTCTATTTGTCAGAATCTGTAATGAAAAATTATGGCATAGAAAAGGAAAGACAAACCATGAGTCAAGTCAGGTTCTCTACTACGGCTCATTAAAAACGAACTATGACTAGCCTTCCTGGTTTGTAATTTTTTTCATTAAAGAACCTTTTTAAAATACAATTTCATTTCTCAGACGTAATTCATATCCACTTTCTGTGAGGATTTCTGACCTGTCAAAACCCTCCTATGCAAAATGTAATGATAGGATCAGTTTATTAGAGTGACTAATGAACTAATCTAAAGTTAAAACTAAATGGAGTGTTTTGATAGCGTTTGGTGGGGAAAACCAGGACGTGCTTCTTGAGAGAGAGTTCTGATGGACTGTCATATTATACTCACAAAGACTATACCGCAAAGGCAGTGTGAAAGGTAATGGAAGAAAGTGGAAGGTGAGAGGGAAATACAAAATACACCTCTCATAAGATAAGCACACACAGAGACAACACTTCAATTCTAATTACTGGCCATTTAAGCAATAAACTTGTTCTCAACTCTTTTGAGAACATTTTCCTCATTTCATGCACAACTGAAGAGATATCAATTTTAGCATAATTTGTATCAAATAGTGCTTTTGGAGATCAGAACGACTGAAATCTTAGCCAGAAATCTGAAAGAGGAAAACAAAGGCCCTGCAACAGAAATCTGTAGCTCACAGGTGAAATACATTTTAAATGTTTAAAACAACAACAACAAAAACAGCACAATCCTCTGGCAACAACTTGAACAAAGAGTGACAGTGGTCAAGCAATTCCAGGTGTTTTCATGCAGGTGTATCTATTTGTAGTGTATCTCTGTCTGTTTCATTCAGCTTGTACATTTCTCTTTGATTTCCAGTTATCAAGTATTTGATTTGTAAGATGCTACAGTAGTGCCAGCAGGCACAGACTGATGTAATAAATACACTCTTCACAAAATATAAAAGCCATGCACTTTAGTGTAGAAAGCATAGCTCTTCAGCTCAGTGGAAATCAATATCCCCTTCTTTTTTTTTTTTTTTAATATCTCCGCTCAGCCACTTAAAAGTCCCAGCTGCCACAGAATGTCATACAAACTCCAAGCCCTGCTCTGTTTTAAGTTTCTGTTGCATAGCTCCCTTCAGGAGTGTGAACAGGATACTTCTTGCTAAACTAGACCACAAGAAATTTCCTTAGTAGACCAAGTGAAAAAACAAATTTGATAATTTTTTCATTTTAGTAACTCATTCAAAATCAGTTCCATTACAGAAGCATCAAGTCATTGGTTCTTGTTTTATCACACGTTTTATAAAGACAGGATCATTACAACAGCCTTGAAGGGGACTGTCAGTTAGGTTCACACTGTCTATGTTCGTTGGGAGAAACACCTTGGAAGAACTGTGGTTCAACAGGATGGGGCTTTTAGATTTGTGAGTTGTATGTCCCTTAGGGACTAAAGTCACAGAACTATTGCCAGGTATCACCCCAGATTTCTTAGGAAATAAAATTTTGCCTCGTTCTACAACAACATGCTTTATAGAAGAGGTGGAGGCACCAGACAGTGATTCTTTTATGACTTCATTTGGGATCTTGCTATATAGGTAACTGGGGGCGTTATTCTCCATTATATCTGACCAAGCCCTGTAGCGAACTTCTGCAGCTCCCCAGTAGTGTCTAATAGCAGACTCCGAGCGATGGCCCGTCACTGCCATTATTTCTCTAGGCCCCAGTCCTGCTTCACACAGTAGCTGGATGGTGGTAGTTCGGAGCGAATGATTGGTATATCGCTGGGAGAGCCTGGCTGCCACACTTATCCTGGGCATCATCGTACCTAAGTAGTTCACACCCATTGGTTCTCTTTTGTACCATACTGGCTGTTCTTGCATTTGCTCTGATGTTAGCTTTAAAGGATGCAGGTAAAAGGCAGGGGGCTCCGGAGGCAACTTAGACAAATAAAGCTCCAAGGATAAAACAGGACAGTTTGGGTCCCCTGGCATATCATACATTTTACCCATTTTATGAGGATCTTCTCCATTTTTTCCTTTGCCAGGATACCTAAACATGGCATATCGACGCCCATTCTTGTCTTTCTCAACAACAAAAGCATCTGGAGCCAGATCTCTTAAAATTTCCCTCCCTCGTTTGGCAAAATGCAACTGCAAATCAAACCACACCTTGTTGACGAGTGCCAGGGGACTGTGCAATCCCAGCACACCAGACTGTTTAATTTTACGCAAGTCCTCAGCAGCTATAGGAGGATGGTGGTGAGTCTCATCCTTTCCCTGCATGCGCAGCATCTTCAGCACGCTCACAAATACCATGTTTGCACTAGCAAACTCTTTGTCCTTCATTAAGCAAATCTGACGATTATACGGTGGCATTTTGAGATGCCGGTTTAAGCCAGCACGCATTGACTTGTAGCTTGCCACACTGTAGGTATTTCCATCATGATTCCTTATCGTGTAATAGAACTCTCTTAGAATATCATTGAGTTCACTTACTGGGACCAATTCAAAGCTAGGATCCTTGCCATTTTTGGCCAGCCACTGTTTTAATAGGTTAGCTGCCCAGCCAGTCTGCTTGTGGGTGTTTTTGATGCTCTTAGCATCTTCTTCCTCTTCCTCCAAGCCAAAGAGGACATCCTCGGGGAAGTTAAAATTCCTCTGTGCTGCTTCTATCGCTTCTTTATTTTCTGATGAGGTCTCTTCATGTTTCAACTGCTTTTCGAAACAATTGATCAAAGTTGTACCATCAAATATGCCACAGGTATACGGCACACAGCGAACTACTTTTTGTTCTGAGAGCTGTGAAGTGCGGAGTAATACATAACATTTTGGATCTTACATAACAAAAAGCAGGTGGCATTAACTGGATTTTTCAAATGACATGGCACGTCAGTTTCATACCTCACTAGCCAATTAAAATGCATCTGGTCCTTCTTTATTAACCATGGCATTACACATGCTTTAACTGGTTTGATTGAAAGCAAACCTACAAACATACACTATAACAAAAGGCTGAAAACCAGAAAGCATCCTGTGTCTATCAGTTCCCTCCTCCTTGCTCCTTCCATTGCTAAATACCATTATCACACACAATCTTTTTTTCCAAAATCTTTTCCAGGTTTCAGGCTCTACCAAAGAAGAAAAATTTCAAAATATGCATCTTATACTGAAAATTAGATCTTAAAGCCATGAATCTGTCAACCATTCTGATACTTAATTTCCTACATATCAAACACTGATAATTTTTTATAGCTATAATCCACAGGTATCTTTTAAAAATGACAACCATTCTTTATTAAACAATTTAATTAAAAGGTTCAGTAAGGCATGACTTATGATCTATAATACTGGTCATCTCTGTCAGACTATTTCTGCAACAAGTGAAAAACAGAATATTTTCTTCTTGCTTTGAAATACAATTCAGATTTATCTGCACCTTGAAACACCATTAAATGTGGAAATTTTGGCTAGAAGTAATTCATTTTATTCCCCACAGTAAAATGTATTCCAGTTAACAACAACGTTAAGTATGAGGTGCTTTGTGAAATATCTGTATGCAAAAAAAAACCCACTTAATTACAAGTTAAAAGTAGCTTAAATTCAATCTTAAAATTTCAAAGCAAGGTCAACAAATTTTAGATGAAGAATCCAGAATTTCCCCTTTATCATGAAGTAGTTATTCCTGAAGAATTTTTTTTCTTTTCTTTTCTCTCTTTTTTTTAATGACATGGAAATGAAATATAACTCCATTTCTTAATAACTTCTGGATTAGTGTGAAAATGAAAGAGCTGCAATAATTTACAAAATACTTGTATCTTTAAGTTCAAGGCCTTTAGACAAAAACTAAGCAGGGTTTCCTTTCATGTTAGCTCTGTGGTATCAGACACGGTTTTACTGTTCTCTGGAATTACTAAGTCATCTACTTACACAAACACATTGGAAAACTTCTGAAAGGATTACCAGAAGCTCATGCTCCCAGTAATACTCTGGATCAGAAGAAGAAGAAAAATACAAATGGACAGAAACTAGAAAGGATGGCACAAAAAGAAAACTAAAATAGTTTCATCATGAGCAGTAAAGGTAAAGAGCTTATCTCCTGTGGATTGTAACTTTAGAAGTTTATATAGAAACATAATCGACAACCTACCTGGGTTGTTCCCTCAGCAGTTCGCTTGTTTGCCGAAGTATCTGTTGCTGGCCTGCTTGTCTGGTTTTCTGAGGGGTCAAGAAATTGTTCATTTGCAGTATCTAATCAGTACTGAATACTGCTATCCACTATACAAATTGGGAGGCAACATTTGAAGTTGTTTGATACTAAACATTCACTACATGGTACATTTAATATTTTTCAGTCCTGAGTGTCAACTGCAAGTATTCAAGCTTAATTACTACTATTATTTTCAGAGGGAACAGAAGTTACAAAAAAGCAAAATGGCACTTTTCAGCATAGAAGTAATATTCATTCCCTTCCTTGAAAGTCTGACAGCGTATTCCAAATATTTAGTGAACAATTCCCTTGGTTATCTGAGGACAAAACATAGTTCCAGCCTCTCTTGCCTCTGTATGTAAACAGACAAGATATTAAACTGAGAAAAAAAAAAAAGTTACTCAACATTTTTATGTGAAAACTGACTAAACAATGGATGGTTAGATTGCAAAATATGTAACTGAGGTACGCTGTGCAGCGAGAGAGCATTCTTCCTAGCTCAACCAAACACACATCTATACGAGCAACTTAAGCAGAAATTGCTTGAATATTTGAAGTAACCATTTAAATCCAAATTCTCCCTTCTCGCTCCCTTTCATTTTAACCAGAGCTTAGCAATAACAGTGTTGGCCCAAAGCAGTGTTTCAGTTCTGGTGAGAAAACCACTGGGGGATCCACCAAGGCTCTGCAAACTGCAGAAAACAAGACAAATTTCTGGGCACATAGAGCCTTCTGTTGGTCACTGTCCCTGATCTGTGCCATGCAACCCTTTTTAGGTTGTATTATATATTGTTATACTAGTTTTACAGATAAAAACTAAATACAAAGTGTATAGCTGTCATGTTGATGGAAGACAGATTTTGACACAGGTATTTTAGAGATGGAAAAATTAAATTATTTCTGATGTCAAGCTCTGCTGGAGTTAATCCTAACATCATACTGTGCCAATTAGAAACTCTTGGCTATGATTCCAACTCACTCAGGACCACTTAGAAAATCTTGAGGACCACTTAGAAAAAGATGTCAAGGTATGTAAAATCAGAAGTACAGAGAATCACGATGGCATGGCAAAAGATGGAAGGGAAAGCATTTAAAATAGCTCATCTAAGTACCATCTTTGGACTTTCATTGTGCTCAGAGACTTTGTTTTAAAGACAATAAATGTACTTCTTTGGAACTAGATTAATATTCAGTTGTGTCTTTTCCCCACTGTGTTTTTTAAGTGTTGTAAAAATTAAGTCAATTAATATACTTTCTTTTCTGTATGTCTTTGCTTAGGAAAGGCAAACAGATTATTTTGTGAGACTGTATTAAAAAACATGAATATCAAGCTGTTAATAATAGAATGGGAATTTCTGATTTCATGCTAGAAATAATGTAAAACAAGTTCTAAATAAAACAAAGTTTACAGAGCCACACTGTTTACTCCTAACAAGAGATGATTTTCAACAATGGCTGCAACATTTGTGACAGATGATTTTGATCTTGACAATTTCAACAGAAAGACCACTCAGAAGACACATCTCAGTGAAATACACTAACAAAATTTCCAAAGGACTAGATGTTTTTGTTTCCCTTTGACAACCATTTTCCTTTCCCAGTGCCAATAGTCAAGCATAACTTACCAGCTCTGGGCGCTGTAATGGTGGGAGGTTCAATAGGAGCTGTACTACTAAATGCAGAGAGGGGAATCTTCATCTGTAAGGGAGTTCGACTGCTGGTAGAATTATGAAGTCCTGAAGTACCCACTGTGGGCAAAGAAGTTCTTGTGGTCTGTGCACCAGGATGTGCAGTTGGAACAGCCTGTACTGCCAAAGTTGTCCCTATAGATCCAGCACTGGCTGGAGAGGTCCTCTGAACACTGGGACTGGGCACAGATGGGCTGTTATTTGGTTTAGTTGTGTTAGTTGATGCCAAAGACACTGTAGTTTTGGTAAGGCCACCTACTGTAGATGCGCTTTGTACAGATATAAATTCAACGCTGCCTGACTGCTGGTTATTGACCAAAGTTCCTGTGTGGCCTTGAAGAAGCTGAGGCTGGGATGACACTGCAACAGGTACATGCAAGATTACGGGCAAAGACTGCAATGAAACAGACATTTGCTGAGTGCTGCCACTGGGCACTTGGCTTGTGCCCACAACTGCAGCTGTGTTAGCTGTGGAAAGAACTGTTGTTGTCAAAGGGCTGGAGGTCACTGGAGTCTGAGGCTTAGGATGTCCACTGCCAGGTATTTGAGGAGCAACGAAAGTGGAAGCTGGTACTACACATACACACGCACCAAAAAAAAAAAAGAGAAAAAAAGAAAAAAAAATAAGTATTTGAACCAAGTGGGAAGTTTCACTCCAACACAACAGATGCAAAAGTTTGGAATATGACTGACTTTTTGCAAAGAAAGGTTATATATACACTCCTTTTCTGTTGTACTGTTGAATTGTGATATTAAATGGCCTAGTTAGTCAATACTGTATTTCAGTTTGAAAAACTATATACAAATGACAAAAAATACAAACAACTATGACATAAAGGCTGAGAAAAGCTCTGAGATTTAAATGACAAACACATATGAACCATGGCACTTCAAACACGTGTTACAGAAATGGTAGAACAACTGGTCCTTCAGAAAACATGAGAAAAGAAAAAGCTAAATCAGTTGACTGACTTGCTTTGTACAGATAGGACATGATAACCAAAATGTTCTACTGAAATCACGGATTAATGTGCCAAAAAGGATGTTTGCTTTTATGCAACAGAATCTCAGGATTAAATCTGAAGATTGGGACCATTACACACTACATATAGTTGGAAAAAAAAATCAATATTCGATATTAAGCAGTTTTCAAAACTGAAGATAGAGTGTCTACATGATGGTAATTAATGGTGCTTTTGATTCTACGTTCCCTACAAAATTCTAATACAGGAATTCCATTTGTCAAGATGATTCCCTTAAGAACTCGGGCTTGTGACTTCCCTTAGTTCCCCACTCAACTTTTGTAACCAATAGTCAGAGGGGATGATAATCAGCGAGTAAAAAAATGGCCTAGGAGCCATGTATATTACTTCTCAGCAGTGGAGAGGCTGCCAGTCTTCCTGTCTTAGCCAGGTATGCATTCTGTTGAAGCATCTCATTTACTCATACATTCTGGTTGGCCAAGTAAATGCATTTTTTGCCTTGCCTGGTAATCGCACTATACAGATATAAGCACTAAATAAATGCCCTCCAAGGGAGGGCAACAAAGATGTTAGAAGGACTGAAAGGCATGCCTTATGAGGCATGAAGACACCTGGGTGGTCTCGTCTGGAGATGAGAAAGCTAAGAGGTGACCTCATTGTTCTCTACAACTTCCTGAGGAGAAGTGGAGAGGGAGGTGTTGGTCTCTTCTCCCTGGTAATAGATGACAGGATGCACAGGAATGCCATAAGTGTGCACCAGGAGAGGTTTAGACTAGATAGATGGAAAAATTTCTTTACTGTGAGGGTGGTCAAATGCTACAACAGGCTTCCTAGAAAGGTGATTGATGCTCCATGCCAGTCAGTGTTCAAGAGCCACTTGGAAAATGCCCTCAATAACGGGGAAGACCTAGTCCCTTCAAACTGAACCATTCTATTCTATTCTATTCTAAAATTGGGAATGTGTTATGGAACTTGGAGTAGTGCTTTTAGATGCCAGGGAAAAAAAAAGTCATAGGAAACAGTTTTACCCTGTTCAGTTAATTAACAGGAAGCAATAAAACTTTTAAGAAGTGTATTTATAAAGTCTGTAGGCAGTTTCTCACCTGTACTTAGAGAGGCTTGAAACGTCGTTGTTGTGCTCACTCCTACACTCCTCTTCGACTCCAACATCTGCCTCACTGTGCCAGCATTTCTATAGAAAGAAGCTTCAGTTAGCATTTCTCAATCCACCACCATCAGATATTATGATACACAGTACAATGGTGGGGGAAAAAATATTTTACAACTGCTCTTTTCATTAATATTTTCTAAACCTATTTATTTTCTGCCCCCTATGCAATTAACTTTGGATAGTCCCCTAATAAAAACCAAAAATCCTCACAAAAACAAAGCCCCACAGAATATTTAATTTCAAATTTTCAAATGCTTGCACTGAGTCTGCCTTCTGCCAACAGAATTTTTGTTTCCTTGAAGTTAGACTTCCATTTTAATCTATTATTTCTAACTGCTAAAACAACCCCCAATTTACCTAGGAACGGATTCAATTCTGTCCATTTGTGAATTCTGTGAAAGAAAGTGGAATTTTCCAGTTGAACAGCAAAATGAAGGAAAAGGGAGAACACTTTTATTAAAAACAAAACAAAACATGAACGATCTTCCTTTACATGAGGTATTACAAGTGTCCTACTCTACATTTTACCATGGTCACAGCGACTTGCTTTGCTTACCGGTATGTCGTATTGGTTGTGCTCACAGTGTCACTTGCTGCTTTCACTGGAGACAGAGGTGAGTTTGGTGGGTTCTACCAAAAACAAAACAAAACAAAAACACACAACTGAATAAGCTTGCAAACTCATGGTTTAATTATTTTATATTCATTCCTTTCTGTATGAGGTACAAATTTGCTGGAGCCAAAATCGCGCAGGAACTTGACAGGATTTACAAGTCGCCCAAAGCCTATTTGGACCTACCCATCTCCTTTTCTACATCCTCCCTCTTTGTAAGTCTCTCGTCTTCAGTTTTTTATAGCACAAGAACCAAAATTTCTTTCTGGATTTTTATGGACTTTTAGCTTCAATTTCTTCACGATAAATAATCCAAAATATTTATTCTAGGCACAGAGAAATACTTCTGTTTGTATTCATTCCTCTCCTCTCCTCTGTCCCCAATACCTGGGATTCACTCTGTACTCTTTATATTGAAGTAAATTACATTTACTTATACATAATTTAAAGAACTTTCACACTAACAGTGTATAAGGGACATTCTGTGCAAGTGAGAATTACATAACAGGTGTTAAAGACCCTTTTCTTTCATATCACTTTGTTTTACCCAAGTAAGATAAACTTATTTCTGAACACCACTGAACCCAGTCACATCTTTCTATGTATAAAATTCCTTTATTCTTCTATACAAAGCTTAGGCTAGCTCAGAAAAGCAAATACAACGAATGCAGTTCTTACTTCCTGTCTTTTCTTCAAGTCCTCCTTGGCTGCACCAAACCGCTTTGTCAATCTAGCAACCTTAGCCTAAATGGGAAGAAGAAGAAAAACAAGGAAATCCATAAACATCCTCCCCAAGAACCTGTAAAGAAATTACACAAACCAAAAGATATACATCTAAGAAATCAATACAAAAATACTGTTGCATCAGGGGAAATTTTTCTTTCCAAGAAATACAGAGCAACCATATCATTTCAAATCAGCAGATAGACACGTGTGTATCACAATTACACCTTAGACAAGAATTTTCATTGCTATTCACAACTGCACAAACATAAACCATCTATTTGCTTTTGTTTTTTTCTCTCGTCCCCACTTCTCTCTGTGAGTCAAAATGGCTTACATAACAACAACTACAGGAAACTTAATACTAAATGCTGAAGATCTTTTTAAATTTGACTCTAGAATCCAATTCAATACACAACCACTCACCTGTAGTTCAGTAAGCACAGTTTTATGCCTCTTGTTACATTCTATTTTCTCTATTCTCATTTTCAAGTCTGCCAGAGTCTTGTCAAATACAGCACACTGTAAAGCAGCAAGTTTTTCTTCTAACAGTCTCTGGATAACCTGCCAAATTATTAATTAAAAAATATATATATTAATATAATCTCAAAATTCAGAAGGATGTCTACAAAAATATGCTTGACTCAAAAAGAATCTTGCCACAAAAAGAACAATAACAATGGCTGCACTTTATCAATCAAAGTTATTATAGTCACCAGTAAGCACAGCTAAGCAAGGTTTCTACATCTATTTTGGCAAATAAACATGCCCTTTCTCTGTCATTAAATCAAGAAATTAATTAATTTAATTTAAATATATATGGTTTTATTACTGATAAAAAGAACACTAACAGAAAATATTATCATAGTGTTGTGTTTACATAGGTTAGTTTTTCCTCTTTCTTTTCTACTCTTTAAAGGGACAATGGCATTCAAAGAATGGAAACTAAAGATGTTCAGCAAAACTTTTCTTTTTGATATGCACTTTCCTCTAAGCAGAAATGGCCTATATAGCTTTTGTTGCAGAAGCTAAATATGGAAGAGACTGATTTCTACAAAGTTTACTTATTACTTTTATTATTTCTCTCCCGCTCCTAAATCATGACTATTGCAGCATAAAAATCTTCCTTAGGAAAAAGAAATAAACAAGCAATGAAAGTGGTTAAGTTTTCTGGATCCTACATCAGCAAAGCTACAATACACATTAGCATAGCCTGGATTCTACATTAGCAAAGCTACAATAGTACTAGCTAGTTAACTAATGGAGTAAGTGCACAATATTTTTCTTCAAGAACATAGGTTTCTTCACACACCAATGGTGCAGTCAAATAGACAAGTAATAGCTCTACAGAAGTCTGCAAAACATTATGTTGATTACACTTTTATTTGGAGAGAGACCTTCCTTAAAGTTGGGTACAAAAAGCACAACTTATCACACTGTATCACACTAAAATGTAACCTTCACTGAGGTTATTTTGGTCTCCATCTACAGTCACACGAAGCTTAAAGAGTTTAAATGCTTAACACATTCCAAATACACGTGTAACTTCTGCAGCACAGTTTCCAAATGATATTTGGTTTCTTCTTAAAAGCAGAGTTATGCAGAATTTTATAAATTAAACCACCATTGTTATTTGAATTATGTACAATTTTAAACAAAAAAAAGAGAAAGTGTGTGGTGAGGGGGAGCAAGGACGGTGTGGGAAAAGACAGTTATTTCTAAAATGCTAAGACTAGAGACAGATATGGTGTGGCCATCTTCATTCTGCACCTCCACTGTACCTTTTGTAATTTTTGGTCAACATCTCTTCTGGCTGTAATTTTTACTTGGAGTTCTGCTTCATAATCTTCTCCCACATACCGACGACGTTTAGAATGTACACTGTCCATATCCTCAGATTTCGAACGCTTTCTCCTGGACACTTCACCTGAAACAATTAGATAAAACTGCTGGTGAGGAACCTTAAAAACACAAAACAAATAAATAGGTATCTGCAGAATAACATGGTTATTATGAAGTTTCATTTTTTCCTAGTGTAAGCATTTTTCATTCTAAAGCAGTAACAATGCCTTCAGGAAAACAATGTATTTGATGACACTGAAATAGAACAACAGGCCCTTTGATTTCCATACACTGCTGCTGAGTTCTGCTTTGTGATTCACCAAACCACACCCTCAAATCGATCACTTTACACCACCACCATTCCCTTCTCACTTGCCTCTACTTCTTCCTGCTCCTACCAGCACCATCCTATAATGCAACATGGCTTCTGAAAAGCAAAACACAACCGTCTTCTAAAAAAGTTATCCTTTTCTCAGTAACCTCTTCGCCAAGTAAAACTTCTGCTTCGTTCTGCCTGTATCAGCACAGAGCTCTTTCCTACCCTTCATTAATTTTTAACCTGCATGACCAACACGACTGAGAAAATAGTCAAAACTTTGTAAACCTTTTATTATTATTATTTTTACTATTTGAACAAGATGGAAAGTAAAAATCTGATGAAAGAAGGGGCCCCAAAAATATTAAGTTTAAATTTAACATTATAGATGTTATTTTCATTGCAGTGATGAAGTATATAGAAGAACCAAAGAGAGACCTCATTTTCTCTTCCAGCTCCTGGCACAGTATCCTCTTAGTGACACGCATAAAAATGACATGCCTAGGTAAATTATCAGTAAGGGAAGCTATAGAGCATACTGTGGGCATGTGCCCAGCATCCAAACACCATAACCTCCAAACCCCCAAACCCTTCACCTCAAACCTGAGGGTAATTCAGAAAGGCAGAATTAGTAGTAGATAAAGAAGATCCACTGAAACTGAAAAAGCACAAGAAATAGCTGCTTTTCATTCTTATTTTTTCTTTACTTTTATTATGTATGCTATGTGAGTTATATTTCTAACTTTACAGAAGCAGTGGCAGAGGAAGATGAATTTCTTGCCTACAGGTGGTGCAAACAGTGGGACAGTTATGTCACCAAGCCAAAGTAGCTATGTCAGTATGTCAGGGAATGGAACATCAGAGATAATTAGGAAGAGATAGACTAGATAAACTGTAAGATCTTGCAGCTTCAAGAACTAGAACCACCAGCTATATCAAAGGATGTATGGGCAGAACCTGAGCTTATCTAGTTGTGAAATAGAGACTCCCATGACGACGAAGGCTGGAAGCACAAGCACAGTGGCTCCCACTCTGCCTGCAGGTACACAGAACAACAGGATTGGTTCACCACTGTCATGGCAGATGGCTGGAAGCTGTGCCCAGGGGAACACCTCAATTGCCTAAGCAAAAAATGAAGCATGCAGGGATGGAGTTAAGAAAGGCAAAGGCCACCTTGAGCTGAATCTGGTGAGAGACATAAAGGGCAACAAAATTGGCTTCATCAGCCTGGCAACCTTCTATGATGAGACGACTGGTTTGGTGGGTGAGGGGATGCTGTTTATCTTGTTTTTTAGTACTGTTTTTGGTACCCAAAACATCGTAAGAGAAACCGACTGAGTATGACCTGGAAAAATGGACAGCAAGAAACTGGTTCAGCTGCTGGGCTCCAAAAGTTGTGATTGGCAGCACAAAGTCCCATTTGAGGCCAGTCACTAGTAATGTAACCTGGGGGTAAATACCAGGACCAGCACTTGCATCTTCATTCATGACTGATGTGACAGTATAGAGGGCACCCTCAGAAATTTGCAGAAGATACAAATCTGGAAGGAATGGTTGCTACACTATATAGTTATGCTGTCAGACTGATTTTGACAAGCTGGAGAAATAGGTAAACAGGAACTTCATGAAGGTCACAAAAGAAAATGCAAAGCCCTACAGTTGAATATGAGTAGGCTTGGGTACCAGTCTAGGCCGGGAACTAACTGCTAGGAAGCAGCTTTGCAGAAAATGTCCTGGTAGTCCGCATGCACAGGCATCCCTTCCAACCTCAATGATTCTGTGTTTCTAATACGTGCCATCAGTGAAGCATAATAGTTTTAACATTACATACTTCTCTCTGTGTGTTTGTCATCATCTTTGTGAGCATCTTCACTGTCTTTGTCCTCTTCCTTACTCTTTCTTTCCTCCTCCATCTCTTCTATAAACACAGGAAAAAAACACGCATTATTTATGTTGACCCATCGAAAGTTGGAGAGTCCTATCTTGACTAGTGAGCTTAGAACATTTATTTTTTTTAAACACAACAACAATCCAGGGGAGAGAGAAGTACGGCACAGGGAAGCGTTTAGAGATTAAAAAAAAAAAAAAAAAAAGAAGAACGGTAACTTTAGAGCAAAATTTTGAACTACTGTACAACACAGATCCACGTCTGGATTCGCTAAGCTTCAAAATCAATACAGTGCCTCAAAGTTACCTCTGAAAGTTACATTTAGGAAGAAAGTGTAAAAATTCAGTAAGAAAATACTAAGATGTTTATTTCCATTTGGAAAATTTGTCCATAATCTTGATAGTAGAAAAGGCCAAAATTCTTTTTTCTTAGCAAGTATTAATTTTCATTTACTTCTTTCCTAGTAAAAAGCATCACAGTTTAAATCTAGTCATTTAAAACCTACAATTGAGGAAGTTCTTTAAACAAAAACAACCATGCCTCATATCCACACAGCTTAAAAGGAAACACTAACACCTCCTGAAAGCTGCACAAAGTGACAAATTTCCATCAACTTTTATGCACATTCCATGAAATTTTACTGTATTTCACAGAGACAGTATTGCTGCTTCCTGTGCTTGCTAGATAGAAAAATAAAATATATGCTAAAATTTATTCAGAATATAACAGAATAAGTCAACACTGCTATATAACACTTGATCTCTACATTGCTGTAATAAAATAAAATAGAAATTGAATAAGAGTCTAAACATGATTTTTTAGAGGAAGTTGCAGTTGCACAGATATACTGATGCTCTCTTAACACTAAATGTTATTTCTATCATGAAGACTATTTCAATGATTTAAAATAAAGTTTCAAAATAAATCAGCAAAAGGAGTCAAAAAAACAAACTGAAATTACAAAAATGTTTTTTTTCATTTAATTAACCTATGCAAGAAATCATGGAGATTGAAATCACACAAATTCCTCAAAACCAACTTTTTTTTTTTTTTAATGTAACGAAACATCATAGTGCCAAATGCCAATTTTAAAAGACCTTCAAGAAAAACTTCATGGTTCCAAAGGAGGCTCCTGAAGTTCAAGAGTTCTTTTTCCAGAATTTGCAGATTTTAATATGCAACTGAAAGATGTAAACACTCCACAGAAAGATACACATACGTAGGGTGTCTTTAACATAACATATTACAAGCTTCAAAGCTGTGGTGTTTTGTTTTTCACTTCTGCATGGAGACCAATGCTATTACAGAAAACCAAGTAATTTGGTAATATTGTTATCATTCTATTTCTCAGAGTCTTCCTAGTTAGCCACATTATTTGCTGTAGATGTGAACAAAAATGGTTTGTTGTTTTTTTTTCTTTTTTTCTTTTTTTTCCTCCATTTTCCTGTTGATGAATGGCTGAAAATACCTTTTAATAGCTTTTACAGCTGCAACCATTCAAATCTGCTTAGTAACTGACTGAATGCATATTTGGATGTCAGCTCTGCCAATATATATAAATGGAAATAAAAATAATGAATAAGCTTAAGCTTAGGGAAATACGAAGTATCTGCAAATATTCTGCACTGCAAAGTAATACTCCCATTATGCCATCATCCTGTAACCACAACATTCTCCTTATAGACTGGCTGCAGCTCATGTACTCAGACAATAGCCACAAGAAAGCACAAAACCTAGCCCTCATAATGCTCAATCAAACCCTACACAAAAGTTTTTACACAAAAGAAATGCCGTTTTAAATGATATTCTATCTATTAAATGCTACAGACTTCTACCAATGTGACACATTTTTGCAAAACAGTATTTATCATGCTCATGTCTAAAATCAACTTTGCAGCTATTCATTTGGACACCTTGTGCATCACATTACTTTTTTGCTCCCTGGTCTAAGTTTAGTCCCTTCATCAGACTATTTTTTTTCAGTAGATTTCATTCAAAAGGATCACACTAGAAAGAGATTTGAAGTCCTCTGTTTTGGTATCAGAGTATTTCTAATGGCTTTACAAATAATTACATTTTAGTTTCTTATGTGTTTGTCTTACAAAACAGCAATTCACGTATTCTCTAGGACAAGATAAATACCCATTACTCCCACATTTCCACAAATGGCCCGTCTCTTGCTTTCAATGGATACTTTCTCTATATGAAGTTACTTGTGAATTACCAGAACACATACGGTTTTTGAACAGGATCTGAAAAGTTACCTGGACATAACTTTATTGTTGTTGTTGTTGTTATTAATTATTATTTTATAACCAACATGTCTAAATTGTATGTCTGAAGTACACATTTATTGAATTTAACACTTCTCTATGCCACCTTTCAGATTTTTAACTTTTTATTTATGAACTCCAGAGAGATCAGAACCGTACTGCTGGGGATGTAGCAGGTTTGTGGATAAGTCCCCATGGAAGCTCATCAAATCAGGGGGGATGCAATAGGGCACCACCAGCAGTCTTTCAACTGTGGGATGTACTTCACATTCACGCAGTGCTGAGAAGATGACTTATCTATGTACCTTCAGTACACTGCAGAGCTTAACACAATATTCATTTCTGACAACTGCCAGAGATCAGACCTTAACAAAAATAACAAGGCAACAGACTACTTAGTACTAGTTACTCAAATGATTGTTTATTCTAGAGAAGATGCTCTACAGAATGGTGTCCCATGGAATTATGTTCCATTTTGCTGTTTGAAATAAAAAGGTCTCTTCCAAGAGCTTGCTGTCATACCACCTCTATCTTGTTCAAACTGACAATCAATCTGAAAGCTAGCAACATACCTAACTAGCAAGTGATTTTACTTGTAGTTGGCCAACAAAATACAATCAGTGGCACACAAGAGCCATAACCAAAGAGTCTAGGCAGGGGCTATGACCTGTAAGGGAACCCTGGGGAGCAGCCTCACTGAAAAGGGCCTGGGGGGCCCGGTGAGCAAGCTGAACACGAGCCAGCAGTGCACTGCTGCAGCAACGAAGGCAAGCTGGATTCTGGGCTGGCTCTGCAGGGGCATTACTGGCACAGATGGAAATGTGATCATCCTATTCTACTCAGTGCTTGTCAGGCTGCATATGGAGTGCTGTACCCTGTTCTAGCCCCACAATTCAAAGTGATGCAGTCAGATCAGAGAGGATCCAAAGGGCTGGAAAAGCTGCTTTGTGAGGAAAGACTCAACACGTTATGTCTTTTCACCCTGGAGAAAACTCAGATGGATCTCATCATGATATTCAAGTACTTAGAGAGAGCAGTGTCTCTCTCTTCACATAGAGCCATGTGGAGCAGGCAAGGGACAATGGGTACAAGTTGCACAGGGAGAGATTTTGCCTTGGTGTAAGAAAATATATCTTTTTTTTTACAGTAAGAACAATCCCTCACTGGAACAACCTCACCAGGGATGCGGTGGAATCCCTATCCCTGGAGGTTTTCAGGATGCAACTGGACAGCGTTATATAGGGGCACCTGGGCTCCCTTCTCCCACAGAAGGTTGCTGATCTTTTGAGGTCCCTTCCTGGGCTGTTCTATCATTCCATGAAGAGTTTCTCTCATACAGCCTTGAAATTGGGAAATTAAATATGAATGTTTTCTTCTACAATGCAAAGGAAAGATCTGATAGCCATATGAAGTTTGTAGGTTACCTAGTCTAACACTTGTGAATTTGTGGAAACATGCTACTCAAGAGGCAGTAGCAGAGAACCCTGATTTAAAAGGATTGTTAACATGGGGGATAATTAGGCAGAAGTCTGCTGACTTTATCTATTTGGTATCATGTATAGTGCTGTGTCAACACAACAGCTTTTCTGCAGGAAGCACCATGTCTGAAGTTTTTTTTGTCACTCTTATATCCACTGTAGAAACTGGGATTTCTGTGTCTAGCAGCTCTAGATCTGCTAAGGGCGCCTAGCTCATATTGCTACTACTAGGACACTGACATTATCTTAAATGCATTCAGTGTATTTTACAGGTATTTGTTTCTCAAAATGTGGTATTAAGTGAACATTAATTGGAGTCACCATCCCTGGAAGTCTTCAAAAGACGTTTAGATGTAGAGCTTAGGGATATGGTTTAGTGGGGACTGTTCGTGTTAGGTTAGAGGTTGGACTCGATGATCTTGAGGTCTCTTCCAACCTAGAAATTCTGTGATTCTGTGTGATTCTGTGATGCTTGATTACAGAGATTTAAAATATTTATATTGATCGTGATGTTTTCTATTCCGTATTTTTCTAGCACCCAAAACCAAGCATAGCATCACTCTGCATGCACATAGAAGTCTTCCAGAGTAATACATTAGTCAGATTTCAATCTTGAGCGAGGAAGAATATCAAGCTCCTTATAAAGCATTTTCACTTTAATTTACAGGGTCTGTCATAAATACTGTCCAATGATTAGAATTTGTGCAGTGCTTTTTCTAAACAGAAGTAGAGCTGTATATACAACACTAAAAGAGGGATTATGCACCTGAGTAGGTTTCCAAGTTACTGGAAGTTTCAGTATCCACAAAATCCACATCACCGTAACACATCCTTCAGGTTCAAGTCCAAGCGAAGATACTGTCAATAGCCTCTTCCAGTTCCTTTTATACAGTCTCAATGTTTTCAGACATTTTTAAATGTTTTACATGTTTTGGGAGTCCTCTCAGATAGTGTTATTTTAATTAATATGAACGATGAGTACAAGGACAATTGTTGATCTGGGAAGTAGCAGATTAATGTATTTTTAAAGAAACCATCATGATCTAGACAGGCTGGAGAAATGGACCACCAAATGCTTTATGATATCCAGCAAGTACAAATACAAAGTTCAGCACCTGGGAAGGGAGAACCTTTGCAAGGACACGAGGGGTGACCGCCATGTGGCTGGAGAACAGCTCTGCACTGAGGACTTGCACAGGCAGCAAGCCACACGTGAGCTGGCAGCGTGCCCTGGCAGCAAAGGAGGCTAACAGCATCCCAAGCTATATTTACAGGAAAA